GGTCACAAAAGAAGCCAGGAGAGAGAGAGAGAAAAAGAAATGTTATCGTTGTGGTAATAAGGGACATTTCGCCAGGGATAGGGAACGCCCAGCAAGATCTGCAAACTGTAACAAATGTCATCTAACAGGACATTTTGCAGTAGTATGCAAGACTAAGAAACATACCAAAGGTAACGCAGAGAAAGTTAGTACACAGGGAAACTCAGACAAAGAGAAATAATATTGTATTGTGTACAGACAAATGGTGACTATGTGTTTGCTGTTCATCCAGAAAATAACTCAAACGACACCGGTGTGATTAGTGTCACGGTGGGTGGAGTAGTTATTTCAGACATGCTCATTGATTCTGGAGCAACATGTAATGTGATTTGTGAAACAACATGGTCTACCTTGAAACAAAAAGGAATTGTCTGTAAAGCTGAGAGGTCAACACAGTTGCTGTATTCTTATGGAGCAGATAAGCCATTGGAAGTCCTTGGGAAATTCCAAGCCACTGCTCAAGTTGCCAATAATATGACAAATGCTGAATTTATCGTGTTTAAAGGCAAAGGTCGTTCACTGTTGAGACGAAAAACAGCACAAGAGCTTGGAGTGTTGAAGCTTGGACTGCAGGCAAACATGATTGACACACAAAATGTGCATGATAAATTTCCTAAGTGCTTTAATGGGTTAGGAAAATTGAAAGATTACCAGGCGAAGATCCACATTGATCCAGACATACCACCGGTGGCACAGAAACCACGGAGAACACCATTCAGCCTCAGAAGCAAAATAGAGGACAAGCTGACTGAATTGATTAAATTAGGTGTGATAGAGAAAGTAAATTGGCCCACACCATCGGTCAGCCCAGTTGTAGTAGTAGCAAAACCATCTGGAGATGTCAGACTATGTGTAGATATGCGTCAGGCAAATCAGGCAGTAGTCAGAGAGAGACATCCGATACCTACCGTAGATGAAATATTAGAAAGCATGAACCAAAGCACGGTCTTTACAAAGTTAGACCTCAAGTGGGGGTTTCATCAGATCGAGTTGGAGGAATCGTCTAGAAGTATCACAGCATTTGCTACACACAACAGGTTGTTCCGATATAAACGGCTGATGTTTGGCATTAGTTCTGCCCCAGAACTGTACCAACACATCATACAACAAGTATTGACTGGATGTGATGGAGCCGTAAATATATCTGACGATGTGGTGATACATGCTCCTGACAATGAAACCCATGACCAAAGATTAATCGAAGTTCTGAAATGCTTTGAAGAAAAGGGTCTGACACTGAATGCGGAGAAATGCGTATTTCGAATGTTTTAGTTAGAATTCATGGGAAGTATGCTGATTAGACATGGTATCCGTCCAACTACAGAAAAAGTAGAAAAAGTCTTAAATGCTCGTGCACCAGAGAATTCAACAGAAGTGAGAAGTTTTCTGGGATTGGTAAATTTCTCTGCCCGATATAAACCAAACTTAGCCACAATAGCCGAGCCACTCCGAAAATTAACACGCAAAGGAAACAAATTTGAATGGCAAACTGAACAACAACAATCATTTGACCGCTTGAAAGATGAGTTAGCTAATGCACGGACTTTAGCCTACTTTGATCAGAATGCTGAAACTACAGTGATTACAGATGCTAGTCCAGTAGGACTAGGCGCAATCTTGATACAGAAACAGAACGGTGAAAATAGAGTTGTGTGTTATGCCAGTAGAAGTTTGTCAGATGTAGAAAGGAGGTACTCTCAAACAGAAAGGGAGGCCCTTGCCATAGTTTGGGCTAGTGAGAGATTCAATTTATACTTATGTGGTATTGAATTTAAACTGTTAACAGACCACCAGCCGTTAAAAGTGATATATTCACACAAGTCAAAGCCATCTGCGCGAATTGAACGTTGGGTTCTACGTTTACAGCCCTACAACTTTACTGTGGAATACATACCTGGGTCGAAGAACATCACAGATGCACTGTCTAGACTGGTTGACAATAATAAGAGTGAACATAGTGATTACACGGAGGAATACATTCGTTATGTAGCAGAATATGCGGCACCACATGTGATACCAATAAGATTAATAGAACGAGCATCTGAACAGGATGAGGAAATTACTGAGCTTAGAGAATGCATAGCATTGGGAAATTGGAATAATTGCCCTGTTGCTTACAAGTCAGTTAGAAATGAGCTTACTGTGTTAGGAAAACTGGTACTCAGAGACACTCGATTAGTCATTCCTAAGAGTCTGAGGAAGCGAGTTATAGACTTGGGACATGAGGGGCACCAAGGAATCGTAAAGACGAAGCAACGCTTGCGCACAAAAGTTTGGTGGCCACACATTGATCAAGATGCAGAGCTAAGATGCAAGTCTTGCCATGAATGTCAGTTGGTGACACAGTCATCTGTTAGTGAACCGATTATACCTACCCAACTACCTACACGTCCTTGGCAAGAAGTGGCATTAGATTTATTGGGGCCACTACCGAATGGTGAATACATACTTGTTGTCGTTGATTAATACAGTAGATATTTTGAGGTGGATTTCATGAAGACTGTAACATCAGAGAAGATAATAGAACGTATCGATTCTCACTTTTCTTCACATGGGTATCCAATTGGTTTGAAATCGGACAACGGTCCTCAGTTCATTTCAGAGGAGTTTGAAAACTACCTAGAAGAGTGTGGCATAAGACATAAACATACAACCCCCTTATGGCCTCAGGCAAATCGAGAGGTAGAAAGACAGAATAGATCTCTCTTGAAAGTGTTGAAGATAGCACAGCTTCAGAAACGCAAACTGCACAAGGAGTTAAATAAGTTCCTTCTAGCATATCGGTCTACACCGCACACGACAACAGGAATGTCCCCAGCCGAAGCAATGTTCAAAAGAAAGTTAAGAACAAAGCTTCCAGAAACAGGGGAAAACAGGTTGAGAGAAGATGACAGAATGATAAGAGATAGAGACACTGAACTAAAACAGAAATCAAAAGATTAGCTGGATGCGCATAGAAATGTAAGAGAAAGCAGCATCCAGCCAGGAGACAAAGATTACTACATCAGAGGCAAAGAAACAAATTATCCACACCGTATGAAGAAATCCATACAAAGTGATAGACAAAATTGGTAGCCAAGTGACTATCCAGTCTCCAACAGGTGTAAAATACAAACGTAACACGTCACATGTGAAAAAGTATGTTGAGCCGACTGATAGTGAAAAAGCTGAAACTCAACAAAGCGATAAAGAGACTGATAATTCATGTGATGTAACTTCTGGATGTCAAAGTGATGCAACCTTACCTGAACCACCAGATAGAGCAAAACGTACAGTTCAGGCACCCAAGTATTTAAAGGACTATTTGTGTTATTGAACTATTGAATTGTTAAATGAGATACATAGATAGGGTAACAGCATGGAAAACGAGGCAGAATAATCCTCCCAGCTGTACGTAGGTTTTGGTAGTCCACCCTGACCTACTAGAATAGTTTAAGTTTATTGTTATATTAGAGTTAGTAGTTATTTGGAAACAATGCCAGATTTTGAGTTTGTAAACTGTTGTTATACGAGTTAACATGCAATTATATCAAGATACATTAGGTGCTAGGAACTATATCATCCTCCAGGACACTTTCGTTTAAATGAGTGATATAGTGTTCCGGGAAAAAGAGGGATTGTAGTGTATTGACTAAACGTAAATTGACCTCTGGGTCACATCTCATTTGCATATTGTAAGATGATGTGAGTCGATAAATAAAGATGGCTGCATAACTTAGTTGAATATGTTGTTTGTGTTAAATCCGACGCATTCGGCATTTAAATATCGGCCGCGATCGTTCAATTGGCGACGAGGACGGGATCGAAGTCACAAGTTTAATTTGAGATGGCTTCAAATATTGATATTGGTAGCATTCCACCGTTTGATTGCAAAAGTGACCCCACTAGCGTATCGACTAGATGGAAAAGGTGGAAGAAAGCGTTCGAGTTCTATATCGTCGGAAAGGGTGTCAAAGATGACAACCAAAAGAGAGCCTTGCTGTTACACTGTGCTGGCATGGACGTACAGGACTTATTTGAGACACTTTTTGATCCCGGACCTGGAAACTTGCCTGAAGGACAACAAGACGATGCAGGTAATTACGAGAAAGCGTTACGAACATTGAACGCGTATTTCATACCTCAGCTAAATGCAATATATGAGAGACATGTGTTTCGTCAAATGAAACAAGAGGAGGGTGAAACTATAGATCAGTTCATTTCAAGACTGCAACGTCAAGCACAAAATTGTGAGTTCACAGATACTGATGAACAAATCAGAGATCAAGTTATAGATAAATGCAAGTCGTCATTTTTTCGCCGTAAGCTCCTAGAAAAGGGAAAATCCCTAACCCTAAAAGTGGTGCAAGACACAGCACGGGCCTTAGAAGTAGTTGATGTTCAATTAAAGACTATGGAAGGTGAATTTAAACGTGAAGTCAACCAAGACCATAACGGTCAAAGGTCACAAAAGAAGCCAGGGAGAGCGAAAAAGAAATGTTATCGTTGTGGTAAAGAGGGACATTTCGCCAGGGATAGGGAATGCCCAGCAAGATCTGCAAACTGTGACAAATGTCATCTAACAGGACATTTTGCAGTAGTATGCAAGACTAAGAAACATACCAAAGGTAACGCAGAGAAAGTTGGTACACAGGGAAACTCAGACAAAGAGAAATTGTATTGTGTACAGACAAATGGTGACTATGTGTTTGCTGTTCAGCCAGAAAATAACTCAAACGACACCGGTGTGATTAGTGTCACGGTGGGTGGAGTAGTTATTTCAGACATGCTCATTGATTCTGGAGCAACATGTAATGTGATTTGTGAAACAACATGGTCTACCTTGAAACAAAAAGGAATTTTCTGTCAAGCTGAGAGGTCAACACAGTCGCTGTATTCTTATGGAGCAGATAAGCCATTGGAAGTCCTTGGGAAATTCCAAGCCACTGCTCAAGTTGCTAATAATATGACAAATGCTGAATTTATCGTGTTTAAAGGCAAAGGTCGTTCACTGTTGGGACGAAAAACAGCACAAGAGCTTGGAGTGTTGAAGCTTGGACTGCAGGCAAACATGATTCACACACAAAATGTGCGTGATAAATTTCCTAAGTGCTTTAATGGGTTAGGAAAATTGAAAGATTACCAGGCGAAGATCCACATTGATCCAGACATACCACCGGTGGCACAGAAACCACGGAGAACACCATTCAGCCTCAGAAGCAAAATAGAGGACAAGCTGACTGAATTGATTAAATTAGGTGTGATAGAGAAAGTAAATGGGCCCACACCATGGGTCAGCCCAGTTGTAGTAGTACCAAAACCATCTGGAGATGTCAGACTATGTGTAGATATGCGTCAGGCAAATCAGGCAGTAGTCAGAGAGAGACATCCGATACCTACCGTAGATGAAATATTAGAAAGCATGAACCAAAGCACGGTCTTTACAAAGTTAGACCTCAAGTGGGGGTTTCATCAGATCGAGTTGGAGGAATCGTCTAGAAGTATCACAACATTTGCTACACATAACGGTTTGTTCCGATATAAACGGCTGATGTTTGGCATTAGTTCTGCCCCAGAACTGTACCAACACATCATACAACAAGTATTGACTGGATGTGATGGAGCCGTAAATATATCTGACGATGTGGTGATACATGCTCCTGACAATGAAACCCATGACCAAAGATTAATTGAAGTTCTGAAATGCTATGAAGAAAAGGGTCTGACACTGAATGCGGAGAAATGCGTATTTCGAATGTCTCAGTTAGAATTCTTGGGAAGTATGATAACTAGACATGGTATCCGTCCAACTACAGAAAAAGTAGAAGAAGTCTTAAATGCTCGAGCACCAGAGAATTCAACAGAAGTGAGAAGTTTTCTGGGATTAGTAAATTTCTCTGCACGATATATAACTAACTTAGCCACAGTAGCCGAGCTACTCCGCAAATTAACACGCAAAGGAACCAAATTTGAATGGCAAACTGAACAACAACAATCATTTGACCGCTTGAAAGATGAGTTAGCTAATGCGCGGACTTTAGCCTACTTTGATCAGAATGCTGAAACTACAGTGATTACAGATGCTAGTCCAGTAGGACTAGGCGCTATCTTGATACGGAAACAGAACAGTGAAAATAGAGTTGTGTGTTATGCCAGTAGAAGTCTGTCAGATGTAGAAAGGAGGTACTCTCAAACAGAAAGGGAGGCCCTTGCCATAGTTTGGGCTTGTGAGAGATTCAATTTATACTTATGTGGTATTGAATTTAAGCTGTTAACAGACCACCAGCCGTTAAAGGTGATATATTCACACAAGTCAAAGCCATCTGCGCGAATTGAACGTTGGGTTCTACGTTTACAGCCCTACAACTTTACTGTGGAATACATACCTGGGTCGAAGAACATCGCAGATGCACTGTCTAGACTGGTTGACAATAATAAGAGTGAACATAGTGATGACACGGAGGAATACATTCGTTATGTAGCAGAATATGCGGCACCACATGCGATACCAATAAGATTAATAGAACGAGTGTCTGAACAGGATGAGGAAATTACTGAGCTTAGAGAATGCATAGCATTGGGTAATTGGAATAATTGCCCTGCTGCTTACAAGTCAGTTAGAAATGAGCTTACTGTGTTAGGAAAACTGGTACTCAGAGACACTCGATTAGTCATTCCTAAGAGTCTGAGAAAGCGAGTTATAGACTTGGGACATGAGGGGCACCAAGGAATCGTAAAGACGAAGCAACGCTTGCGCACAAAAGTTTGGTGGCCACGCATTGATCAAGATGCAGAGCTAAGATGCAAGTCTTGCCATGAATGTCAGTTGGTGACACAGTCATCTGTTAGTGAACCGATTATACCTACCCAACTACCTACAGGTCCTTGGCAAGAAGTGGCATTAGATTTATTGGGGCCACTACCAAATGGTGAATACATACTTGTTGTCGTTGATTATTACAGTAGATATTTTGAGGTGGATTTCATGAAGACTGTAACATCAGAGAAGATAATAGAACGTATCGATTCTCACTTTTCTTCACATGGGTATCCAATTGGTTTGAAATCGGACAACGGTCCTCAGTTCATTTCAGAGGAGTTTGAAAACTACCTAGAAGAGTGTGGCATAAGACATAAACATACAACCCCCCTATGGCCTCAGGCAAATGGAGAGGTAGAAAGACAGAATAGATCTCTCTTGAAAGTGTTGAAGATAGCACAGCTTCAGAAACGCAACCTGCACAAGGAGTTAAATAAGTTCCTTCTAGCATATCGGTCTACACCGCACACGACAACAGGAATGTCCCCAGCCGAAGCAATGTTCAAAAGAAAGTTAAGAACAAAGCTTCCAGAAACAGGGGAAAACAGGTTGAGAGAAGATGACAGAATGATAAGAGATAGAGACACTGAACTAAAACAGAAATCAAAAGATTATCTGGATGCGCATAGAAATGTAAGAGAAAGCAGCATCCAGCCAGGAGACAAAGTATTACTACATCAGAGGCAAAGAAACAAATTATCCACACCGTATGAAAAAATGCCATACAAAGTGATAGACAAAATTGGTAGCCAAGTGACTATCCAGTCTCCAACAGGTGTAAAATACAAACGTAACACGTCACATGTGAAAAAGTATGTTGAGCCGACTGATAGTGAAAAAGCTGAAACTCAACAAAGCGATAAAGAGACTGATAATTCATGTGATGTAACTTCTGGATGTCAAAGTGATGCAACCTTACCTGAACCACCAGATAGAGCAAAACGTACAGTTCAGGCACCCAAGTATTTAAAGGACTATTTGTGTTATTGAACTATTGAATTGTTAAATGAGATACATAGATAGGGTAACAGCATGGAAAACGAGGCATAATAATCCTCCCAGCTGTACGTAGGTTTTGGTAGTCCACCCTGACCTACTAGAATAGTTTAAGTTTATTGTTAAAATAGAGTTAGTAGTTATTTGGAAACAATGCCAGATTTTGAGTTTGTAAACTGTTGTTTACAAACATGCAATGAGTTAACATGCAATTATTACAAGAGACATTAGGTGCTAGGAACTATATCGTCCCCCAGGACACTTTCGTTTAAATGAGTGATATAGTGTTCCGGGAAAAAGAGGGATTGTAGTGTATTGACTAAACGTATCTTGACCTCTGGGTCACATCTCATTTGCATATTGTAAGACGACGTGAGTCGATAAATAAAGATGGCTGCATGACTTAGTTGAATCTGTCGTTTGTGTTAAATCCGACACATCCGGCATTTAAATATCGGCCGTGATCGTTCAATTGGCGACTAGGACGGGATTGAAGTCACAAGTTTAATTTGAGATGGCTTCAAATATTGATATTGGTAGCATTCCACCGTTTGATTGCAAAAGTGACCCCACTAGCGTATCGACTAGATGGAAAAGGTGGAAGAAAGCATTCGAGTTCTATATCATCGGAAAGGGTGTCAAAGATGACAACCAACAGAGAGCCTTGCTGTTACACTGTGCTGGCATGGACGTACAGGACTTATTTGAGACACTTGTTGATCCCGGACCTGGAAACTTGCCTGAAGGACAACAAGACGATGCAGGTAATTACGAGAAAGCGTTACGAACATTGAACGCGTATTTCATACCTCAGCTAAATGCAATATATGAGAGACATGTGTTTCGTCAAATGAAACAAGAGGAGGGTGAAAATATAGATCAGTTTATTTCAAGACTGCAACGCCAAGCACAAAATTGTGAGTTCACAGATACTGATGAACAAATCAGAGATCAAGTTATAGATAAATGCAAGTCGTCATTGTTGCGCCGTAAGCTCCTAGAAAAGGGAAAATCCCTAACCCTAAAAGTGGTGCAAGACACAGCACGGGCCTTAGAAGTAGTTGATGTTCAATTAAAGACTATGGAAGGTAAATTTAAACGTGAAGTCAACCAAGTCCATAAAGGTCAAAGGTCACAAAAGAAGCCAGGGAGAGAGAAAAGAAATGTTATCATTGTGGACATTTCGCCAGGGATAGGGAATGCCCAGCAAGATCTGCGAGCTGTAACAAATGTCATCTAACAGGACATTTTGCAGTAGTATGCAAGACTAAGAAACATACCAAAGGTAACGCAGAGAAAGTTGTTACACAGGGAAACTCAGACAAAGAGAAACTGTATTGTGTACAGACAAATGGTGACTATGTGTTTGCTGTTCATCCAGAAAATAACTCAAACGACACCGGTGTGATTAGTGTCACGGTGGGTGGAGTAGTTATTTCAGACATGCTCATTGATTCTGGAGCAACATGTAATGTGATTTGTGAAACAACATGGTCTACCTTGAAACAAAAAGGAATTGTCTGTAAAGCTGAGAGGTCAACACAGTCGCTGTATTCTTATGGAGCAGATAAGCCATTGGAAGTCCTTGGGAAATTCCAAGCTACTGCTCAAGTTGCCAATAATATGACAAATGCTGAATTTATCGTGTTTAAAGGCAAAGGTCGTTCACTGTTGGGACAAAAAACAGCACAAGAGCTCGGAGTGTTGAAGCTTGGACTGCAGGCAAACATGATTGACACACAAAATGTGCGTGATAAATTTCCTAAGTGCTTTAATGGGTTAGGAAAATTGAAAGATTACCAGGCGAAGATCCACATTGATTCAGACATACCACCGGTGGCACAGAAACCACGGAGAACACCATTCAGCCTCAGAAGCAAAATAGAGGACAAGCTGACTGAATTGATTAAATTAGGTGTGATAGAGAAAGTAAATGGGCCCACACCATGGGTCAGCCCAGTTGTAGTAGTACCAAAACCATCTGGAGATGTCAGACTATGTGTAGATATGCGTCAGGCAAATCAGGCAGTAGTCAGGGAGAGACATCCGATACCTACCGTAGATGAAATATTAGAAAGCATGAACCAAAGCACGGTCTTTACAAAGTTAGACCTCAAGTGGGGGTTTCATCAGATCGAGTTGGAGGAATCGTCTAGAAGTATCACAACATTTGCTACACATAACGGTTTGTTCCGATATAAACGGCTGATGTTTGGCATTAGTTCTGCCCCAGAACTGTACCAACACATCATACAACAAGTATTGACTGGATGTGATGGAGCCGTAAATATATCTGACGATGTGGTGATACATGCTCCTGATAATGAAACCCATGACCAAAGATTAATTGAAGTTCTGAAATGCTTTGAAGAAAAGGGTCTGACACTGAATGCAGAGAAATGCGTATTTTGAATGTCTCAGTTAGAATTCATGGGAAGTATGCTGACTAGACATGATATCCGTCCAACTACAGAAAAAGTAGAAGAAGTCTTAAATGCTCGAGCACCAGAGAATTCAACAGAAGTGAGAAGTTTTCTGGGATTAGTAAATTTCTCTGCCCGAAATATACCAAACTTAGCCACAGTAGCCGAGCCACTCCGAAAATTAACACGCAAAGGAAACAAATTTGAATGGCAAACTGAACAACAACAATCATTTGACCGCTTGAAAGATGAGTTAGCTAATGCACAGACTTTAGCCTACTTTGATCAGAATGCTGAAACCACAGTGATTACAGATGCTAGTCCAGTAGGACTAGGCGCAATCTTGATACAGAAACAGAACGGTGAAAATAGAGTTGTGTGTTATGCCAGTAGAAGTCTGTCAGATGTAGAAAGGAGGTACTCTCAAACAGAAAGGGAGGCCCTTGCCATAGTTTGGGCTTGTGAGAGATTCAATTTATACTTATGTGGTATTGAATTTAAACTGTTAACAGACCACCAGCCGTTAAAGGTGATATATTCACACAAGTCAAAGCCATCTGCGCGAATTGAACGTTGGGTTCTACGTTTACAGCCCTACAACTGTACTGTGGAATACATACCTGGGTCGAAGAACATCGCAGATGCACTGTCTAGACTAGTTGACAATAATAAGAGCGAACATAGTGATGACACGGAGGAATACATTCGTTATGTAGCAGAAAATGCGGCACCACATGCGATACCAATAAGATTAATAGAACGAGCGTCTGAACAGGATGAGGAAATTACTGAGCTTAGAGAATGCATAGCATTGGGAAATTGGAATAATTGCCCTGCTGCTTACAAGTCAGTTAGAAATGAGCTTACTGTGTTAGGAAAACTGGTACTCAGAGACACTCGATTAGTCATTCCTAAGAGTCTGAGAAAGCGAGTTATAGACTTGGGACATGAGGGGCACCAAGGAATCGTAAAGATGAAGCAACGCTTGCGCACAAAAGTTTGGTGGCCACGCATTGATCAAGATGCAGAGCTAAGATGCAAGTCTTGCCATGAATGTCAGTTGGTGACACAGTCATCTGTTAGTGAACCGATTATACCTACCCAACTACCTACAGGTCCTTGGCAAGAAGTGGCATTAGATTTATTGGGGCCACTACCAAATGGTGAATACATACTTGTTGTCGTTGATTATTACAGTAGATATTTTGAGGTGGATTTCATGAAGACTGTAACATCAGAGAAGATAATAGAATGTATCGATTCTCCCTTTTCTTCACATGGGTATCCAATTGGTTTGAAATCGGACAACGGTCCTCAGTTCATTTCAGAGGAGTTTGAAAACTACCTAGAAGAGTGTGGCATAAGCCATAAACATACAACCCCCTTATGGTCTCAGGCAAATGGAGAGGTAGAAAGACAGAATAGATCTCTTTTGAAAGTGTTGAAGGTAGCACAGCTTCAGAAACGCAATCTGCACAAGGAGTTAAACAAGTTCCTTCTAGCATATCGGTCTACACCGCACATGACAACAGGAATGTCCCGAGCCGAAGCAATGTTCAAAAGAAAGTTAAGAACAAAGCTTCCAGAAACAGAAGAAAACAGGTTGAGAGAAGATGACAGAATGATAAGAGATAGAGACACTGAACTAAAACAGAAATCAAAAGATTATCTGGATGCGCATAGAAATGTAAGAAAAGTAGAATCCAGCCAGGAGACAAAGTATTACTACATCAGAGGCAAAGAAACAAATTATCGACACCGTATGAGGAAATGCCATACAAAGTGATAGACAAAATTGGTAGCCAAGTGACTATCCAGTCTTCAACAGGTGTAAAATACAAACGTAACACGTCACATGTGAAAAAGTATGTTGAGCCGACTGATAGTGAAAAAGCTGAAACTCAACAAAACGATAAAGAGACTGATAATTCATGTAATGTAACTTCTGGATGTCAAAGTAATGCAACCTTACCTGAACCACCAGATAGAGCAAAACGTACAGTTCAGGCACCCAAGTATTTAAAGGACTATTTGTGTTATTGAACTATTGAATTGTTAAATGAGATACATAGATAGGGTAACAGCATGGAAAACGAGGCAGAATAATCCTCCCAGCTGTACGTAGGTTTTGGTAGTCCACCCTGCCCCACAAGAATAGTTTAAGTTTATTGTTATATTAGAGTTAGTAGTTATTTGGAAACAATGCCAGATTTTGAGTTTGTAAACTGTTGTTATACGAGTTAACATGCAATTATATCAAGAGACATTAGGTGCTAGGAACTATATCGTCCTCCAGGACACTTTCGTTTAAATGAGTGATATAGTGTTCCGGGAAAAAGAGGGATTGTAGTGTATTGACTAAACGTATCTTGACCTCTGGGTCACATCTCATTTGCATATTGTAAGACTACGTGAGTCGATAAATAAAGATGGCTGCATGACTTGAATCTGGTGTTTGTGTTAAATCCGACGCATCCGGCATTTAAATATCGGCCGAGATCGTTCAAGTGCTGTGGTGAAAACTACAATGATACTAGAAGAAAATGCCTAATGT